CAACTACGCAGCCAAGTTCCGCCGGTACTGTGAAGGCAGGCATGGCTATGAGCATGGTGTTGGCCGGCGTTGCCGCGAGTCTGATGCTGTGATCCCGTGATATCTATCATTGGCTTGATGCTGGAGAACGACGAGATGTCGCGTAGGAATGGCACCCACTGACCATCATGGACTTATTCCCTGATGATTACTTACTGTACATTCTCAATCGAATCAGTGCTGTTGCTCATGAGGTCAAAACCGTGCATCTAGCGTTGTTCACAAGTTTGACTGTTCTGCCGGATGGCCGTCCTTTGCGTTTGACATACGAATGTTGCAGATGCACCACCGGTGATTGCTGCGATGAAGCTCGACTGGTGGAAGCATATAATTAAAGATCCAAATAGTAGTGTGTAGTAGGGAAACTAGATGATACTGATACTGGGAGTTACGCTTCTGCTGCGACGGTGACATCGGGCGAGACATCTTCAGTACTTGTTCCGTTGAGCGATGGCTCAGAAGTGAGCGGTGCATCAATGCGAGATCCGTTCAACGACGTCTCCTTGGCCGGAAGCGAGGGCGGAGCAACGTCTTCGCCCTCGTCGGGCTCGTCGGAAGCTTGCGCAAGTCCGTTCGTCGTTGGCTGTTCTCCGTTATTGGCTGACAGCGGGTCGCTGGCGCCCAGTGGATCCAGTGGCTGAGGGAAGTCCGTGTGTGCGGTTCCATTAGCGAAGGCAGGAGAGTGCGGACGAGACGGAGTCGTGACCGGAGGTGTCGGCGATGCTCCTGCATCAGACAATGCGTTCGGCGGTTCAGGCGACGGACTAGCAATAGGTAGCGCTTTGTCCACATCTGCAGACGGTAAGGGTGTGCTAGGGGCTAAAAGAGTGGAAGCACGCGGAGGAGCTGCGCGGCTGAACATGTGCGCGAAGCGCGACGTGGTGGACGGCGGAGGTGTTGATATAGACTCCTGCCGATGTAGCTGCGGCTGCGGCGATAGCGGTTGCGGTTGTCCAGGTTGCTCAATACGCTTCTCCTGCACAACAATTTCCAGCATTGCGGTTGGCGCTCGGACGTTTTTCAGTCCTGAGAGTTTCTCGTGCAGAAAGCGTGCATCCCCGAGAAGTCTGGAAGGGAGACGGAGCGTTACTCCTTCTCTGAATAGAACAGAAGAGTCACCACTAACCTCTCCTTTGCTTCGATGGATGGCAACTCGAGCGCAGCGAATTCTTCCGAAAGACGGTGGTTGATCGCAGCAAATACCTGGGACATTACGAACTAAAAATATCGTGGAAATCCAGGTAAACTGAATGGCAGACAAGACGTAAGATTACGTACCTCTACCACAGAAACAGATAGGTAGCGAGAGAGAACTTTGTGGAGTGTCACGGTTTCCTTAGAGAGCAGCTCCATATACTCGTTGGGACCACCTCCCGGTTTTGGGACATTCCAGTCTACCAACTTTCCGAAGGTACGCGTCAAATCATGAATGGGCCTGAAAGGCCGAGCAAACGCGTACCTGAAGTGTCTTAATATGCGCACTCAACCTGTCTCCCATGATAGCAATGAGCTTTGCATGAATCTCGTTCTGATGCTCTTGGTAATCCTGAAAATAGATTGCTGTGTAAGAACGAAGGAAAGGGCAAATGAGAGTCGAAGTCACGCACCCTTTTCAACTTATCAAACTCTATGAGCATGACTGCCTGCTTCTGGTTCAAGTGACGTCTGAAAGCTTCCCGCACATACGGAATGAGCGATATCATAATCGACAGAGATTGTGACGCCAATGCTATCAGTAAATTGTCAGCGAGAACGCATTAAACGATAGACGAGTTTTTGGCGATATACCTAGATGCTTAGCTGTGATGTTCTTCAGGCCAGCGGACCGCATCGCGCCAGCCCCAAGTACGACTTGACATGTCCTCGAGTTGAACGCCTTCAACAGTTCGATAACGCGACTCATAGTTTCTGTGATGAGCGTAGGCATGTTGACTATAACACGCATGTAATCCGAAAGCAGCACAAGTACTTCAGAAGTCGCAGATACTGTATAGAAGTTCCTGTCCTCAATTTTCAGATGCTTGCTGGGTCCTGTGCCAGACTGTCGTCGCCTAGCAAAATCGGGAGACCGGGAGCCTTGGAGGCTCTTCGGGCTGTTATGAGGGAACATGGGAGAGGGAACGGGCGACGAAGGCTGGAAGGTCCCTCCGTTGAGAGTGGATGACGGGTTGGGGGATGTGGGGATTGGTGACAGCATTGCATAGGCAGGGGATGCAGGAGGTGGTGAACTGAAGGAAAACTCTACCGGGTCCTGCATCGATGCGTCGACAATGAGGTTCACAGTGTATTGGACTGTCGGGTTAACCTCCGCTGGGCTCCATTGTTCATCCTCCACTAGTTTTGCAGACGCGGACAGACGTGACTGGTGGAAGGCTTGCAAGAATGTCTTCGACTGTAGGCATAACGGGTCATCTAAAGAGCGGTCCCCTTGGTCGCAGGATGAACTAACCTGGCTCACAACAGCACCTCTCAGACCGACAATCATGCGCCGACATATGACCTCAGTCTTTACTACAAAGTCCCATGAGAGATTGAAGAACGTCCAGAAGTCTTTCAGATCCAATGCCGTATGTTGCTCTGCACGCAAGCCAACAACCTTTGCCGCGCACGTATTGGCTAGCTCCCCAGCTGAAGACAGAATGTCCCCCAATTCTTCTCGTATTGCAGAGACATCGAGAGGTTTTGATCGACTTAGTGAAGGGGATGATATTAGCGGAGATTTGGTTGATTGAGGAAGATTATTCAGGCTCACCCCACGTCATCCAGAATATCAATGATGATATTGTTCTGGGCTTGCAAACCTTCAATGGCCCTGAGGAACCGGTCATACATCACACGGGCAAGGTCGAGGAATGCGGTGTGATCAAGGGACATAATTTCCTTTGCCGGCCCTGCACTACATGCATGTTAAAGCAACTATGCGTCATCGGAAGATAAAGAGACTTACTTTTGTGATGCGTCTTCTCCATCCAAGCTAAACAATGGTATATGCTTTCGGCAGTGATGTCCTCAGCTAATTGCGATTGTTAGTCGAGGTATGCACTTACTCGTTTGAGAAGGCCTCGAACCTCAGACAGAACAACCTCACGCCACGACAAGGTCGCTTCGCGAATCTGTTCCGTACGCACGAGTGAATGCAAAAGTGGTCGCAGTTTGTCCTTGAGGGATAGTCGCATTCCTTCTCCGGCCTGTTTCTCACTATGTCCATTGAGGTCGGGAACGGAAACGCCATAGTCTATCCGCTCTACGAGGTCTGTCTTCAGGACATTGACAATTTCAGAGGTGAGCGAGGAGGCAATCTGGTTGGTGAGGGCGCGCAGGTTGGATGGCAGAGCAGCGAAAGCATGCAAGGATGAAATAGGTATTGAGGGAGCAGGACGCTTGTGGTATGCAACATGTGCTGAAGCTTCCAATGTGTCGGGTAGAGGTGTCGCAGTAGGTGACTCTACGACAGTTGGAAGAGGCGACTTTCGGCCGTCCCGACGAGGGTCCGCGGTCATAGATATCGGTTTTGTAAGTTCTGCTTGGTGGTAAAAGCCAGAATCCCATAACGCGTCGAGTTCGTCGACGACGTCTAACGCCTCGCCCCATTGACCTGCTCCTACCAGTCCTCTCGCAACGCCTACCATTTCTACCACGTTACCCACTGCACCCACTGCACTCTTGACCTTGCCTAGATTACGCATACGGCCTTCAAGGCGGACAACCTCCAGGCCTTTGATCGCGGTCTTCTCGTTGACTTCCTTCAGCAATCCCCTCAATTGCTTGATTCTCGCTAGGCACTGCTCGCTCTCCGTTTGTAGATCTTGCAGGTTAGACAGTGCAGCAAAGAAAGAGGTGGACCGGACGGAGATCTCTCGTACGAGGTGCTGCTCTATAGTATCTGCATAACCAGACATCTTGTCGATGAGCGGTTGAGCATAGGTGAAGGATGCGGGATCGTCTAGCATGAATCCTTCACGTTGATCGCTAAATTCTGTCACGGTATTGAATGTCCGTGGGTCGCCCAAGTTGAAGTGGGTTTCAAAATAGACCTCTGGGACAGTTTCCAGAGGGGGCAGCGGCTTTCCGGGAGGTGGCCGCGGCGTCCTGGGTGTGATTGGCATCTCCTCGGTGGGATGTTGGGAGTTATCAACCTGCGCAACTCCTTCGCGGCCCTCCTGTGCATTCTTCTCAAAGCGTTCCCATTCTGGCGCGACTGACTTCAAATAGGGATCAAAGTCTTTTCGCTTAACTCGTGGTAAGTCGGCAGAGGGTACCGCAGGGAGCGCGGAGTGTGCCTTCGGAGGAGCTGACTTCTTATGAGGACTGTTCACCACAGTTGATATAGCTAAGCCAATATATAATCAGCAGGAGTACCATGACAGAAATGCAGGTCTGCGCACCGTGGAATCCATGCAGCGAGCTACTCCATTCCGGCGGGAAGGAACCCAAGGGGATATTCGCGGTCACAGCTAAGCCGTCATACGAGTTCTGTCCTCCAAAGTAGTCCCCTCGGCCTTCGGTAGTTTCAGAGACACTTCCAGGACCAGACCTCTTCTGCGCCGCATCCCACGTGAACCGATACGGCCGTGCAGCGTTGGCAACCTGGGGCAATTCGCCGACTGGAGAGGCCGGCCTGGAAGTAGTTGAGGCGTAGTCTGACATGGATGGCAACTCGTTCAGCTAGCCTCTCTTGCAGGTACAAGACGGTTGAGCATGTAGAATCCCGTGGGTTGTATCGCGCTCGGATGTCTTGGTGAGAGGACTAAGTGGTGGCGCAACTTGAATGCGATTGGGCACTTCGAGTCGCGTCCCGCAAGCGCTCATCGGCGCGAGCCTACGAAATCTAAGACAAAGCATAAGCAGATGAAAGCATACAAGCTCACTCGTAGATGAAGCCATTGCGCTCTGCAAAAACTACCCCTTGCCACCAATCCTCTGCAAGGATACGACCAAGGATTGGCATGGATAAAATGCTTAGGCACTACCAGGGTTCGAACCTGGGTTTCAGGAAATCCTAAGATCAAAATCCTGAGTGATAACCCCTACACTATAGTGCCATGGATATCGCGTGAGTTAAGGGCATCTATGAAGCACTTCAAGCTCAATGCAGTAAATCCTCGGTGCCGATTTTCTCATTTGTGCGTGTAATCCGTCTGCAATTGAAGTATGAAACCCGGTTGCCTTCGTAGCATAATCTAGCAGGGTTTTGTGGCAGATGCCAAGCATCACACGTTGAGCTGTTCAAGGCAAAGAACTCGATTTACTCGCATTACAGTATTGAATTCTGTCACAATCTGTCACGGGTATGTCACGCACGGCGTCGGCGTCGTAGCGCTGTCCTCGCTCTCGAACTCAAAGGTTCATCGATTCTCTCGCAGCGTCGGTGGACGTCGACTTCTCCTCTATCCACCGTCGCCTCTCTGTTTTATAACATCTAGTCAGACTCAAAGTTATCGTTTGCTGGAAGCCATGAAAGGGCTCAAGAAGACTCTGGTCAGTCCATTTATGTCGTCTAATATCCCTCACGCGCTTTCTGACAGTGTCCAACAGCTTAGCAGATCGAAATCGCAGGAGTCCTCCTCCTCCAAAACAAAGGAATCTAAGGCTGCTGCAGCGGCTGCCGCTGCTCCCCCTCCCCCTCCTCCGAACTCCAACAAGCCTCTTCCACAACCTGCAACGGCCGTCGCCAGCCTCAGCAATCTAGCCAACAACAGCAGCAACCACTCGTTACCGAGTAGTAATGGCTCCCTCTCATCTCGCCGATCGGTGTCCTCTTCGTCTCTGGGATCCAGCGCTCCGCAACGAGCATATCCAGCTCCCGATAGGGCTTCTCCGGCGCCGCCTATCGTCGTTGTTAGCCCTGAGGCAGAACCGATTGAAAGAACCTCCTTAGGCGAAGGGCCAAACACCCCGCCTAGGTCTAGTACTCTCAACCGTCTGCGGACGGGGCCCAAGGATACTATCCCCATCGTAGGAAAGCCCCCGCGCAAGCAGCGTAGCAGCAGGTTTGTGGTTACAGAGAAGGTAGAGATTGAGAAATTGCCTCCGTTCTTGGGTAAGTGCCACCTGTCCGCACCCAACGGACTCACTTACCCTCCTTGTAGAAACCCCTCCGGACGAACGCCCACAGCTATTCATCAGGAAGCTGCACCAATGCGCTGTCCTGTTTGACTTCAATGATACCAACGCAGAACTCAAGGGAAAACAAATCAAGACACAGACTCTACATGAAATGCTGGAGTACATAACAACACAACGCGATGTTATTACTGATAATATATACCCCGAGGTTGTCAAGATGGTATGTCTTCCCACGTCATGAGGTTCGTGTAAGCCTGACCGTACATCCGCTCATCCAGTTCGCAACCAACCTCTTTCGTTCGATACCCCCACCTGTCAATCCCACAGGGGATGCATACGACCCCGAAGAAGACGAGCCTGTTTTAGAACTGGCATGGCCACACCTGAAGATCGTCTACGAATTTTTCCTACGATTCGTCGAAAGTCCGGAATTCAATACGAACCTCGCGAAACGCCACATTGACCAGAGCTTTGTTCTCAACCTACTCGAACTCTTTGACTCGGAAGATCCTCGAGAGCGAGATTTCCTCAAGACCACGCTGCATAGGATATACGGGAAATTCCTTAACCTCCGCGCACCGATTCGGCGAAGCATCAACAACGTTTTCTTCCACTTCATTTATGAAACCGAGAGGCATAACGGCATCGCCGAACTCCTCGAAATCTTGGGTTCCATCATCAACGGCTTTGCCTTACCGCTGAAGGAGGAGCACAAGACCTTCCTCATGCGTGTTCTCCTTCCGTTGCACAAGGTCAAGAGCTTGTCCATGTATCACCCACAACTCGCGTATTGCGTGGTGCAGTTTTTGGAGAAGGACGCAGCTCTAGCGGAAGACGTTGTTATGGGCCTACTGAAGTTCTGGCCAAAGGTGAACTCGCCCAAGGAAGTCATGTTCCTCAGCGAAATGGAGGAGGTTCTTGACGTGATCGATCCCGCTGAGTTCCAGAAGATCCAGGTTCCCTTGTTCCAGCAGCTTGCTAGATGCATCAACAGCCAACACTTCCAAGTGGCGGAGCGGGCGCTGTTGTACTGGAACAACGAGTATATCGTGAACCTAATGAGCGACAACCTTGCCGTTATCCTTCCAATTGTCTTCCCGGCCCTATACACCAACTCCAGGTCGCATTGGAACAGGTAGGCACTCGCTACTGGCCTATAGCGTTATCCGCTAACTGCGGCTTTCAGAACAATACACGCGATGGTCTATAACGCGTTGAAGCTGTTCATGGAGATTAACCCTGAGCTGTTTGATGAAGCGATGCAGCAATACAAACAGCGGAAACTCGAGTGAGCAAATCTGTCCTTGTCATAGTCGATGCAATTACTCAACAACCACCGTAGCGAGCGTCAGCACGCCGTTGACCGGTACGAGCAGTGGTTGCAGCTGCGAGCTAAGGCTGCAGAACGTGCGAAGGGTAAACTTCCCGAAGGCTTCGAGCAAGACGAGCCTACACCGCCCCCTCCTCCTGTGGACGAAGCCGACATCGTGGATCTATCAATAGACCTCAACGCAGTTTCGATCGATGCGGAAATACCTTTGAATGAGCTAGACGAGAGTGGAATAGAGCGAGTACCGATGGCAGATCCGGGTATGGACGTGAGTCGTACAAACTATGTATACCCCCAGGACGTCTGAATGAAATCGTGAGCAGCGCCCTTTCCCTGAGATAGGTGGCTTAGAGCACTCTCCGGGAGGTACAAATTTGCACTCGCGGCGGAAAAGTGCTCTTCCAGGTGCGGACTTTCTGACATTGGTTTTATCGTCTCACTGATCCAGTGCATGTCCATTCTGCACGCTAGTCGACCCTACTGTGTTGCGCGATCTTCAAGCTCACCGAAGTCTCGAAGAGGGTGCGCTTCGCGGTGGTGTGCCTCAGGATGGCCATTAAATGCGCTTCATATGTGCTTATTCCCTTCCCCCGACCGCTGTGGCATGTCTCAGCCTTCGTCCTTTGCCTCGACTGTGTATTTGACATACATATATCGACTTTGCCTCGTTTTCTGTTGTTTCTCTACGTGGATCAGTTCCGTTTCTCGCTATGATATATTTCTGCAACAGTCTGCACATTTTTCTCGACGTATATACGCGCATCCATGTTTGTTCACATATCCATCCATCTTGGAGCGCAACTATTCCAGGAAAGCCTAACTACAGCATAATTTGGGAGGGGGGGCGTATCAGAGACTACACGATATTCAAGGGTGGATGCTTGATAAATATTCGAGGCGCTTGAGCGCGTCGAATATCTCGGCCAAAGCAACAATGAAGAAAGTAAGAGAACCAAAGTACTCAGCCCGACGGAAAATGATACCGATACCAAATGCGACCCAAGCGCGTTTCAAGGCCAGTTCGGCATGTTCTTTGGTATCGTCCTCTCCCTTGCGGTCAGGTCCCGAGACTTGTCGCGCTGTGCGGTCAGAGAGGTGTGTGGTTTGTTCGCGAAGATAAGCCACGAGTTCCTTGCGCCTGCGCGGGAGACTGGACTTCGCGGCAATCGTGCCTACCAATGCCTCCTCTTCAGTGAGCATGGCGGAACGGGACGTCGACATCGTACTCGATGCGCAGATCGTGCGCAGCTCGAAGGCGAATTCGTGGAATATGGTCCAGAGTTCTTTCACGTGCGTCTTCGAGTGCTTCCACAGCGAGGTGAACTCGCCGACCTTTTCGCGCATAGCCTTGATGATAATTCCATCGCTCTGCTTGCTTGTGAAGATCACATTGGTGCGGAATGCCTCGATGACGGCGTCGAGGGTGATGTCATGATTCCTAGACGTGAACGGGCGCGGCATGCGCGGTTCGGGCAGTTTGATCTCGCGGAACAGCTGCCCAAGCCACCGCTGGCTCTCGTAAAATAGCTTTGTGTTGTCTCCGACGGCGAGCTCGGGACGGCTCCAGTCAGGTTTGATTGAGCTATTGTTCCGTGGGATGCTCTGCAGGGGCACTGGCTTGCCCGTCTTCGCATAGTCGACCGCGTCGCTGTGAAGTTGTGCGAGCGTAAGGCAATCTGGATCGTGGATTCCCTTGTCGCTGGAATCGGCCCTCAACAGCCATGCACTGGCGATCAGGCCTATGTTCTGCAAGCCAGTAAATCTGTGTTCGGAGGCGCATCCGTATGTGCAGGGAAACTACGTACATCAGAGTATAAATACTCGGTAACAAAGTTGGCGATATCCTGGCGCGTACTCGGTCTGTCAAGTATGCGCTTCTCGCCTGGAGCGTACTCGGCTGGATCGTACGTCACTGTAGGGAGCATCTTTTCCAGGGTGCAACAGACAAACACGTCGCCTAAAACCCCGTCGCGGACAAACCGGTATCTCAGTGAGTTGGATCTTGACGCAAGTTGCAGACTCACCGTCAAGGTCACCGCCAGCGAGGCAAGATGCCAAAGGACGGGCACCTGATACGAGGTCAGATACATGGACAACCAACAACCACGGATGACGATACCTTTGGTGGCGAACACAACCGTATTGCGTAGCGGCTCCAAGAAGAAGGGAGACTGTGGGGGAGGCTTGCCAATGGCAGTTACAACCTGGATATCACCCGGAGCAGAGGTTGGAGATCTGAACACCATGGTAGGACCCTCAAGATAATGTGGCTCGCTCCCGTCGTTGCTGGTAATACACGCAAAGATTTCACCTTCCTGTAAGTACCCATGGATGTCCGCAACGCCAGGAAGAGTCCATCCGTCTGGAACGGGGATGCGAGCGTGGTACTTGAGTTCACGGAGGACATGGTGAACGGCGAGGTCAATTAACTGGCCGAAGAGCGGGTGGTGTCGGGGACGGATGCCTAGCTTGTCGAGACCTAGAAACACGGAGGCGAGCTTGAAAGAGCTTCCTACGCCGTAGCTCTCGAACAGACGTGCCGCCTTGTCAAGGCCCGTGTAAGCCTCTTTCGTATGAGCAATGACCACCGCCTGTAGCTCCTTGAGAATCTCGTAGCCTCCAGCAATCTCGAGGCCCTCCAGCATC